CGCAGGCCGCGGGGACTGGCGTGGCCGCTCGGCTGTGCTGCCGTGGCATCCAAGCAGCCATCGCCAATCACAGAGGAATGAGCGGGGCTGCGTTCCAACGGAACTCTTATTTATGGGCCCTGAAATTTGAATCCCCTGTCATTTTTACATGTCACGCAATCTTTGTTTTTTCCTGTGGGCTGGCTACAGGTAGCCATGTTTCCGTGCCTCTGTCCACCTCTGCCATTTGAGCCAGTCCCCGGGTCCTCCAGCTCCCAAGACATAGCAGCCGGTGAGCCAAACTGGGAGAGGACACACAAGCACAGAGAAACATCCACCCCCAGCGCTCCCCAAGGACAAGGATCACACAGGGTCCCCTGAGAGGAAAAACACCACGGTCCAGATACTGGGCTCAGGCCCACGTAAAGCCAGGGCAGGGCCGGGCTCGGTGGCTCAGCCTGTAATCCCGCGCCTTTGGGAGGCTGAGGTGAGTGAATTGCCTGAGCCCGCAGGTTCGAGACCCGCCTGGGCAGCGAGACCTCATCTCTACAATAAAAAAAACAAAAAAAATCAGCCAGGCATGGTAGCGCGCGCCTGTAATTCCAGCTACTCGGAAGGCTGAGGCAGAAGGATCGCCGGGGCCCAGCAAGTCGAGGCTGCGGTGGCCGGGAGCGGCCACTGCACTCCAGTCTGGGCGACAGAGTGAGATTCCAACAAAAAAAAAAAAAAAAAAAAGCTAGGGCAGGAATGCATGGCTGGTGGCTGCTCGCCAGGAGAAAACTTCAGAAGGAAGAGCAGTTCCACAGACAGAGAAACACAGAGGCAGATTGGCTCCAGCCCCATTTATTACAAAACAGTGACATCTGGTATATAAAAGATCCCTGATAGCCCATATACCTGGGACAGCCCCACCTTACACAGTCCCCCCTGCAGGCGCTGTGAGTGTGGCAGGCCTCAGATTCGAAGGTCCCCAGCCAGGAGGGCGCTGTACTGCGCAGGTGTGAGGGGCACATAGGCGCCCACGGCCTGGTCCAGAATGTAGAGCGGGTCGGACAACACACTCGGGTGAAAGCCCTCGTTGGCCATCCGGACCTTCTGCTGTTTGAAGGTCTCTGTGGTGGCCAGAGAGTCCTGGGGAACAGAGGAGAGGGTCAAGGGCATCGGAGGAAGAGGCATGCTGCTCAGTTGGTTCTGGGGAGTCCCCGACTTTTGTCAAAAGGGAGTATAAGGTCGCGGTTTAGGGGAGGAGGTGACAGGGAAGAGAAGGAGCAAGGCTGGAAGAAGGAGAGGCGGGGTGAGGAGTGTGCCTGGGAGGGGACTGTTCTCTCTCTTCAAGAGTATATCGTGCGGGGGGCCCTTTGTGGAGTTTGGGAACCATCAAACTCCCAACATTGATACATGGGCTGGATATGTGGGCTGAGGGTCACACGAGCTGCATATGTGGGCTGTGAGGGGTCGGGCTGGTTACCTGGAGCCTTAGAAAGCGAGGCCAAGCGTAAGGCGGCAAATTCTCAGCCACATGCGAGTAGAGCTGCACAAGGTCCAAGGAGTGGGGGGGACGCAGAACCAGGGCCGCCATTCCAGCCCTGCCTTCGTGCCCTGGTGAGTGTGGGAGGCAAGGTAAGCCATTCCACGACTGGCTACCACGGAGGCCTTGTGTTCCTTTGCGCCCAAGTATTACCAATTCAGGGTGGTGGGCTGGGTGCTCCCCACCTTCCATGTCTAGGCACCTGGCACAGTGACTCCGTAGACGTTCACCTCCTGGAGAAAATCCAGGGCCTCAAAGACCTCTGCCACCTCGGTTGTGGCCACATTCTCCCCCTTCCACCTGTTGGAGAGCAGAGATCAAACTGGGAGTCAGGGGTCAGGGCCTTATGAGTTTCGTGGGGAGAGAAAGAAAGAGAAAGCGATCAGGGTGCCCGACCGTCGCAGGCATGTCTGAGAGACCAGCAGAGGCCCTGGGTTGACAGGGGAGACTAGGTAGTGGTTTAGGAGGTTTGGGTCATGAGCTCTGACTCCAGGAAGAGGACTCGGCAAGTTCTGGACGGATACCTGAAGGTGTCTCCAGTACGATCATGGAAGCGAAGAAAGCCTTGGTCGTCGCAGACCAACAGGTCCCCGGTGTTGAAGAAAACATCCCCAGGCCGGAAGACATCCTTCAGCAACTTTCCTCGGGCCAGCTCCGGCCCCCCAGCATAGCCCAGGAATGGGGCCTGCTGGCTCACTGGGGCCACCAGCAGCCCAGGCTCACCTGGCAGGGTCACCGGGGTCAGGAGTGGTGGCTGCTTCACCTGCGGCCTCCTTCCCACACCACCCCCTTCTCCAACTCATCCTCCCCTGCCATCTTCACCACCCCCACCCAGCCCACCCCCACACGAACCTGGAGACGTGGTCACACAGTGCCCCCGGGCGTCCCGACATGGCTCCCCTGTGGTGACATCATAGCGAACCAAAGAGAAGGGGAAGACGTGCTGGGGAAGGGAGACCCAGGCACTGGGTCATTTCCGTCGCAGGAGTCCCGCCTCTCACCTGCCCCCGGCTGATCCATGGGTTCTGGGTTTCCTCTCTGCCCCTCACCTTGTACAGCCAAGAAGCACGTCCCACTGCGCCCCGCTGTCCCGTGTAGTTGATGGTGGCCACGTTGCCCTCCGTCAGCCCGTATGTCTCCAGCACCTGCAGGGGCCCAAAGCGCCGCACAAAACGCTCCCAGGTGTCTGGGCGCAGCCCGCTGCCCACCGCCAGCCGGACCTTATGGCCATGTTCTGCCTTGTTCTGCAGAGTCAGAGAGGAATGGGGGCTTCAGCACCAACATGCCAGCTCCGGGAAGTGAGTCCTCTTCCCACTCCCACGACCTCCTCCCCCGTCAACTCCTCAGCATCAGGTAGCCTGGACCACCTCAGGCTCCCCCTCCTGCACTGCCATGTGTTTCTCCCTCCAACTCCCAGGCCGCCGTCTCAGTGCCGCTCGTCAACGGCCCTGCTCCCGTGACCCCGCCTTGTGTCTGTGGCTCTGCCTGGGGTTTGTGCCCACGCACCGGGGGCTGGTTGACAAGGTATCGGCACAACTCCCCGATGTACTGGAACACTGTCACCCTGTGCTGCTGGCAGTCCTCCCAGAACTGACCAGCAGAGAACTTGGACTTCAGCACCACTGTGGCCCCTGTCAGAAGTGGGAAGGGCAGGGGGGAGGGAAGGAAGGAGGTGAGGTTAGAGCAGAGGCGGACCCCAGCCCCTCCTTCCCAGACACTGGCTTTCACTGCAGCGCCTCTCCGGGTGGGACCTGCTGTGAGAGTTATGCAGTGAGCAGCCCATGCTGGCCCTCTTCCCTTCCCACGTGCATCTTGGAGAGCTCAATGCCCTTTCTCTGCTTCCCAGCCCCAGATGTTCCATCCTGTACAACCTCGCCCCTAATTCTACCGTCTTCTCCATTTGCCTCTTCCTGGACTGACACGCACAGTCCTTCCCTCCCTTTGACCCTGCAGTCTGGAATTCTATGAACTGTGCGGCCTCCCCAGTTGCTCAGTCTGCAGGTCTGGGAGGGCGGTGTTTCCTGGAGAGCAGGGCCCTGCCCCCTCTTCTGGATTCTCTGCCCTGAAGAATTCATGCCATACTAGGTATTTGATACATGTTTGCTGGAAGAATGGGCCAGGCACGGTGGCTCATGCCTGTAATCCCAGCACTTTGGAAGGCGAGGCAAGAGGACTGCCTGAGCCCAGGAGTTCAAGACCAGCCTGGGCAACAGGGCGAGACCTCATCTCTACAAAAAAAATTTTTTTTTAATTAGCCGGGCATAGTGGCACACCTGTCGTTCCAACTACTTGGAAGGCTGAGGTGGAAGGATTGCCTGAGCCCGACAGGTTGAGGCTGCAGTGAGCCATGATTGTGCCACTGCCCTCCAGCCTATGCGATAGAGTGAGACCCTGACTCCAAAAAAAACGGGTTTGCTGGAGGAATTAATGGGGTTGAGGGGGGACTAACCAATGCCCAAACAGCCCACGATGCCCAACAGGGAACCGGACATATGGTAGAGCGGGAGGGCGAGGTAGATCACATCCTCTTGGTGGACCCCACACAGCTGGTAGAAGCCCTGGCATTGCAGGACCTTCAGATGACTGACCCGGGCAGCCTTGGGGAGGCCTGTGGGGGGCAGGAGGAGGGCTTAGCGGGAGGCCTGAGCTCCAAGTCCTACCTCCCTGCTTGCCCCTGCTGCGTGGGCAGGGGCAGGACAGAAGCCGCGCAGGACAGGGGCCAGGTTGTCCTGGAAGTCTGGGCAGTCTGCGGGAGATGGAGAAAGAGGGTGTGGGAGGACCGTAGCCAGAGAGGACGCGCCGCTGGGATCAGTACCCTCTCTGCGGACTTTGAAGGGGCGGCCTGGAGCCGACGACCCCTGCCTTCGTCTCTGGGAGGTAAGCATGGTGCCCAGCCCTCACCCGTGGTGCCAGAGGTGAAGATGTACAGGCACGTGTCCATCATGCTCTGCGGGGCGGAGAGGTATCCCGGCACCGGCCCGTCCGCTTCAGCCGACACCTCCGCCAGGAGATCGCTGATTCCGGCAGGGTGGGCGCCAGGGCCCGCAGCCCACAGGTGGAGCCCCAGGGCTCTCAGGGCCGGCAGGTCAGGCTCCAGGGACTCCAGAAACTCTGGGAGGGGTGGAAGGCGCTGCTCTGCGCTCCGCGGCCGCCCGGAAGCCGTCCCGGCCCTCGGCCCATCCCGCGCGCGCCCCCAG